AGGCAATGAATATAAAGTCAATGAATATAAAGCATTAGGCAGTGTCTGGCACATAGAAAGAGCTCTATAAACATTGCCTGCAATTATTATTATTCAGCCCTCTTATTGCAACACATATCAGCCTTGCTCTTATTGTATGCCATCCTGCAGCCAGGATGGGTAATCACATAATTGCTTGTCACATCTCTTTCCTCTTCAGGTTCCCCCCCATCTTCCTCAGACTCCTCAATTATCTCTGGATTTCACCCAGAGACTTGGAGGCAGACATGTCCAGTGCTGAAATAATCACAGTGACCACCCATTCTCAGAGCTAGCACTCAAGGCAGAGGCTGCACCAAGGTGTTCTGTACATTCCCAATTGCTAGAACCAGCTAATGTTTGCTTCTTCTCTCCATTTTCCAGGGAAGGAAACGGAAGCTCGACAGGCTAAGGTGACAGCTCCATCCACAAGAAGCAGAGCCGTGATTCAAACTCACGTCCACCTAACTCCCATGTCCTTTACAAAACAAGCAAAACCCAAACAAACCCAAAGGAAATCAAAGCATCCACTGAGGCCCCACCAAAAAAAAGCATCACTGAAATCTCAAAACAAAGAGGGCTTCAGAGTTAGATCAAGCCCAGCCCAAGGAGGGCTCGAGATTCTGAAGGAGCCTTCCTTGAGTCTGTCCAGAGTCCAAAACTGTCCTGCAACTTCAAGGGAGCCTTTGTCCCCCACAGGCCAGTGGCCGGTGGCAGTATAATATGACGGGATTACTTTGACTGTGGCCATGTGGTGGCGAGGAAGCCCCCGGCCCCTTTCCGGCCCCTTTGTCCTGTTTAATGCTGCATCTGTGAGGCCCCTCTCACACAGCCCTGCTGGTCTTGACTCTGAGGTGAAGGAGTAAACATCTTGGAGCTCTTTATTAGTTTATTTCAGAAGATGGAGCCTGTTTGTCCCTGGGGCCCGTCCCTCTTTTATGGCCTCGAGCCTTTCTTGACAAATTCTAGTGACTGGAGAGAAAACCGCTTTCTACAGCAGATCATTAAAACACCACCATAAACCAGGGTCATAAAACATTATTTGCTGGGCATAAAAAGGGGGTAGAATTTCCCAGAATGACAACCCAGGCCGGGCTTTCTCCCGCTGGGAAAGGCGACACAGGGATGCAATCGTTCATAAATTCCTTATCTTGCGCCTCTCTTGGTAAAATAACCCCGTTGGGACAGCAGCCAAAAAAATATTGATTTATTAGTTCCACAGGCTCAAAATCATTTTTAATGAGAGAAGAACGGCAATGCCTTGCCAGTGTGTCTTCAGATGACTCAATCCAAGAGCACACACCCAACTGCACACAGGGTTCGCAAGGGGAGACATGCCCCATATTGGAGGGCTGTGGGTCACAAACCTTCACGGACAGAGAGGCATCAATTTCTCTCCTTCCAACTGTCTGCTCATTTCCCAGCCAAACCAGGCAACATCTCCAACGGGACGGATGGGTTCTTATAAATGAGCCTGGCTCTTCAGGGTAGCCCTTACCACCCACTCCCACTGAAGGCTTAAGGAAATTTTCAATTGATCCTCTTTGATATCACTCACTGAAATACTTCTTACATCCCTGCACCCATTCATTCACTTGGTTGTTAGTGAGTATCTCATAAGTGCCAGGAATAGCTCAGACGACTGAGGCCACAGCCATGGAAAACACAGAGGAAGTCCTGATGATAAGGGGCTGATTATTGGTGAGCTATAACCTCAGAACACCCATTATTAATATCATCCTATAAAATCCACATCTTTTTTTCTGAAGACCTTGGAACAGATAGATTTGTTGAAGATTTTGAAATATTTTTGAAGGATAAAATAAAGCCTATGATTCTTGGTTTGCAAAACCAGTGAAGCCTGGGAAGTACCCGGCAATTGCGTGTGTATTTCTTCATATTCAACTACAAGTGGAATAACTCAAGATTATAAAGGTCTTGTCAGGTGAGGTCCAGTTTTGCCACCAAAGAAGTTTGAAAAGCTCTGTTTTCAGAGCTGCTTTTTAGAAGAGTAGGTATCCAATGCCAAGTGAGCCCAACCCAAACTCAGTGCCACTGAGATTATCATGGTGTGTTCTTCTCACTAATCCCTGATTTTCCTTTTCCCTTCCTCCCTTGAACCAGGTGTTCCTTTTTTTTTTTTTTTTTTTGGTACCAGGGATTGAACCCAAGGGTACTTAACCACTGATCCACATTCTCAGCCCTTTTTAAATATTTTATTAAAAGACAGGGTATCCATGAGTTGCTTAGGTTCTCGCTAAGTTGCAGAGACTGGCTTTGAACTCAAGATCCTCCTGCCTCAGCCTCCTGAGCAACTGGGATTATAGGCATGCATCACCAAGCCCAGCTCTAAAACCTGATTTTTCAAGGTCATTCCATTTCATTCTCAGTGCATCCTACAAGGTATATCAAGCTGTTTCTGTATATGTTATTGTGGGCTTGTGTTTAAGAAGATTCAGAAGGGGGCTTTATGACTCATCTAGGGATTTACTAGAGAACAGCAGGGCAGGGAACTGGAACTCCCAACTCAAGTGTTGGTACTCTTAACCACTAGCCAACACCATCTTCCACTAGAGGGGAAAACTGCAAAACAAAGAACCCAGAATTGTTGAGGCTGTGTCTGTCATGAAAAGGCAATTGAAGAGAAGCATGGAATTATCCAGATAATTCAGAAAACAGCAACTTTTTAAAAAAAGTTTGTGGCTGGGTAACCAGTGTCTCTTTACTGTTTGCATCTTTACAGAATGGGTTCGTTCAGGAGAACTGCCTCTGGACTCTAGGGCACTTTGGTGCCAGGTGACTCCATGCCTTCTTACCTCTCCTTTCATAGCCACTAACTTTGTTCAACCTCTCAGTTTTGCCACAGAAAGCTAGGTGCTCCACATCCACTGTCCCAGGGCAGAGCTAGGGTGCCTACTGAGGGGGCAAGTGGACTCCCCTGGCCAGGGGGAATTTCAGGCTGCAGCCACTGGACAGAATATCTAGGAAGATAGGGAAGGGCAGAAGGACACTATTTAGAGGCAGTTCTAGAGACTCAGAGACTCCTCTTTTTAGTACCCCTGTGTCCCATGGGCAGATTTCAAACTAGATGGGAAAAGCATAAAATGCTTTCAGGTCACCAAGTGGTCAAAACCTAGAGAGGGTTAGAGGAAAGGAAACCCAGGATGTGAAGAGGAGCTTTAAGAACCTTGGGCTCTTTTTCCTTAAGGCTCTTTTTCCTTAATGTGCACTAGATGAAAGAAAGCAAGGCCATCTGAGCAGGGGCATCTATTTCTTTGCATTTTGTGAGAGCTTCCACCACCATTTTTGGTTCCAGGCAAAGGAGAATGGGGGTGGGGAGGCCCTTAGGGCCAGGTGGGCATTTGGGGGCTTTAGGGTGGGACAATTTAGGGCCAGGAAGAGGCTGTAGAAGGTAGGATAAGGTCTGGAGCCCCAGCTTGCACGCCCAAGGATAATTAGCTGGGGGTGGAAATGGGGGACTGGAGGAACAAACCCAAACTGCCACCACCCGAAGTACCCAGGCCA